CTTTACTGTGTGTCTTCTCTGAAATTAGGTTATATGCCAAGCACCGTTCTAACTTCTGGAATGATGAAGCGTCTTTATTCCAAGAGGTGCACCGATGAATGTGACACGTAGTGAAGTAGAAGTACAATTATGGTGATAGAAGCACACGCTATGGAAGCACAGGCAGGGGAGGTTCCCAAAGTTGGGAGGTCAGATGATTACAAATTATATTATCGCTTCAGAAATCTCTTTTAAAAGTACCATCATTAGAAGTAATTCCTTTTATGCATTATTTCCTCCTTAATACAAAAGCAGTGCATTTTCTCTAGAATTACTGAGCATCGAAAAAGAGACTTGGGCGCCTGGGTGGCTCAGTTGGTTAAGTGTCTGCCTTCAGCTCGGGTCATGGTCCTAAGGTCCTGCACCTTAGGGATCCAGCACCACGTTGAGCTTCCTGCTCAGCTGGGAGCCTGCTTCTCCCTCTCCCTCTGCTACGCCCCCTGCTTATGTCTCTTCCTCTCTCTCTCTCCCACCCTCGGTCAAATAAATAAAATCTTTAAAAAAAAAAGAGAAAGAGACGATAAAAAGCACCTGAAATGAGGTGCTTGGGTGGCACAGTTAAGTGCCTGTCTCTTGTTTTCAGCTCAGGTCATAATCTGGGCGGGGGACGGGGGCATGCTCAGCTTCGAGTCTGCTAGCGATTATCTCTCTCTCTTTCTCCTTCTGCTCTTCCCCACACTCACTCCCCACCCCCAAAATAAAGAGGAGAAAAAAAAAAAAAAAAAAGCACCTGAAACCAATTACTAGGACAGGTGTAGGCTAGAAATGGAAATATTGGCTTGGTATCATTTACATCTAAAAAAAAAAGGAGTGTGTGACTAAGAAACTAAGTTACCAAAAAAATACATAAACAGGTCTTGAATAATGAGGTGCCTGGGTGGCTCAGTGGGTTAAAGCCTCTGCCATCGGCTCAGGTCATGATCCCAGGGTCCTGGGATTGAGCCCCGCATCGGGCTCTCTGTTCGGCGGGGAACCTGCTCCCGCCCCCCCGACCTGCCTCTCTGCCTACTTGTGATCTCTGTCTGTCAAATAAATAAAATCTTAAAAAAAAAAAAATAGGTCTTGAATAAATCCGTAGTTGGTTTTTTTTTTTTTTCTTGTTTTGTCTCAGTTCACCATCGTCTGTGCTGTTTTTCATCATGGAGTGTGAAATGACAGGTCTCCAGGTGTCCTAGACATACTAATATTAATTATATGCCCGTAACTCTTTGGTATTTTCCTTCTAAAATTTTCTTCAGGGTTTCTTCATATATCCTTTGTCTTAAAGGAGTCACAGACAATGAAAACAAGTGGGAGATGTTCATTCAAAGAAGTAGTCTCCTGCTGTTAGCTCTCTTTTTATGTCTTACCCACATGAAAGTGTCGTCTCGCACCAAACATAATCGTCTCTAAAAATACAGTCATGTTAAACTTAAAAAAAATGTGTCTGTCCCAAATAAGTACTTAAACAGAGTACACTTTATTGTATGTAATTATTCCTCCGTAGGGTTGATGTGAAGACACACATCTGTTTCAAGTGAGAAATCTGGACATGCTAGAGCCTGGGACCAAGGGGAACCTCCTGAAGGTGTTTGCAAAATTCAAAATGATTTCTTGTCCTACTGGTGGCACTTAGAGTGATACAGGCTGCGCTCTTTGATTATTCTTAACAGCAACAGATAATAGAGTGTCCTATCATGATATCCCACATTGTACTAGGTCTTAGAATTGGCTGACAGTACTCTGCAGTGTGTAAATATATGTGATATTCTTTTCTATGTATCTGTGTACATACATAGCATATAGACATGTGGGGATCATGCAGCATTGGTGTAAACGTTTTTATAGTCTTAACATATTTTTGCTTTATACTCTGCATCAGTAAGAGCAAGGATATCAGAAAATGTAACTGTTTCTAAATTTAAATCATCAAATCGCTTTGATATGGTGAATCTGGATTGTTACATTGAAATGCTTCTGAGTTAGTGGTTCCTGTAAAAAGGGATTTGGGTTTTTAATTAAAAGGCTATAACATCTAAGGTAGTGCGAGTGTAGTTTTGGTATTTTCTGGAAAACTCTGGAAATATTAGATTTAACTAATCCTCATTAGTCTCTTGAACTGATCAGAAAGAGATTTTTTCGCCTAATTTATGAGCACCCTCTGAAGGTAGGAAAATATTTCTTGCAGTGAGAAGTAAGGGCTTCCCTGGCTTTCAGATACACAGGGTGCTTTCAGTTTCTATCCTGCTGCTTCTGCCACATGACACATGTAGACCCAGAAACGCACAAGCCCCTTGTTCTCTATGTCAAAAAGCTATTCTTTCCACTGAACTCAAGATCTTTTATACAAGAACACCAACAGGCAAGCATAGAGTAAACGACCTTTGCCCTTGTCTCTCACTCTGTAGAGAATAGATCCCTCTAGAACCAATATACAGTAGATCATCAAATAACCACTACATTGTCAGACCATAAAACCAAACTCCACTTATTGCTACTACCAATGGGAAATAACTTATAGCCCCAGTAGAAATCAGAACCAAACTTGGCTTAGTATCAGAAACGGAATCATAGCGTTGGAAATAAGAGAAACAATCAAAAATACAAAGTTCTGTTGCCACTGGGGATTTATTGTGGGTACCAAGAAATCATGTATATGGGCTTAAGTAGCTCATGAATTGCCTATTTCAGGCATCCCCGTTTAACTGTTTTTGGAAGGTGAGTCTACTTGAATATCTCAGTGGGACCTCCATAACTGTCAAAAGTATAATTTCAGGAAAAAAAAAAAAGTGACCTACAAAATCATGCAAAATGTACAGTTATTTACTTAACTCATTAACAAGGGAGCCAACAAGACAGCCTGGTTCAGAGAGAATTGGAGAGAATGAAATATTTATTAATTGTTCAAGGAAAAAATGCAGGGGTGCCTGGATGGCTCAGTTGGTTAAGCATCTGCCTTCAGCTTAGGTCATGATCCCAGAGTCCTGGAATGAGCCTCACACAGGGCTCCCTGCTGAGCAGGGAGCCTGCTCGAGCTCCCCCTGCCTGCCTCCCTGCTTATGCTCTCTCTCTGTGTGTGTCAAATAAATAAATAAAATCTTAAAAACAAAAACAAAAACAAAAAGAATGCATAAGTTAGATTTAAATTGAGATACGAAACTGGTTTACATCTTACAGCGCAATAAAACTATAACCTTCGGAGTTATCCTTTCTATAGGACTAAAATAATTTGCGTCTCCACCAGACAAAATGAATATGCACTGCTATTGGACAAGAATTTTTCCATCATTGTCATTTTTCTGGAACAGAACATTGTTAGAAGACCTAGTCAACATGATTGACAACCAGTTATTTACTCATTCAGCATATAGTTAAGGGAGGCCTTCTTTGTACCAGGCACTGTTCTCAGAGCTGAGGATACCACACGATTGTTTTCTGCCCTCATGGAGATTGCATTCACCTGGCCTCCTTGTATGTCCCTTGCTCCAGCCTTCATTGTCACACAGAGAGCCAGGTCCTCCCCACAACCTTCCCTCGTGTGCAGTAGAAAGAGGCCCCAGGTTTATGGCAACCCACATTCAAACTTTAGGGTGACCAAGACACGCTTATCCTATATTCTCGAGAGTGTTGGTAGAAGTTAATTTTAATAAATCAGTGGTGTAAATGGTTTCCTCTTAAACATGTTTTTAGAATACCGTTAAAGAGAATTCTGTCTCTTAATACTAAAAGCTAGCTGTCCTTGTTCTAAGTATTGTTTGTGACCTAGAATGATCTGGTTCTGAGGGAAAGGTTTACTGAAAGGAATTCGTTTACCTTCTTTACTTACCTTCTTTACTCCTCATTTAACTCACTTCTGAGGTTTTCCAAGCAAATCACCTTTCTGTCTTCTTTTGTTGCTTAATAGACATTTTGTATTTGGCATCTTCTCTTTCTTCATCGCTCCTGCATTTTATTGATTTTTGGATTTTCTACAGATAGATGCAGTGCTGCTTTGGTTAACATTATCTTAAATAAATTTGGGTGTGTTTTTGTTTATGGATTCCAGATAGTGTTTTCTGCTTTGGAGGAATTTATTACATGCCTGCTTTCTGTAATGGGCCAGTCATTCTCCATTTACTGGAGTGTATCCTGCCATTAGTGGTTTTGTCTTATAAAGCATAATTGAATGTACTCTATTGAAACCCTGGAGCAAAACAAATCTTAATCCAGTTATTTTGGTATTTGTGGAGTGCTTGGGTATATCAGCTCCTATTCTTTTTAGCAGCTTGGATCTCCGTAAACTTTAGCATGTTTTATTTTTCCCAGCGTTCAAGAAAATGTCTACGTTCTGTGAAGGTAATCTCATCATTGAGTTTTGTTCTGCTTTCATTAAGTCCGAACCAAGTATTTATGGGATGTTTCATTTGGTTGTGTAAATTTAAAGAACACTTACCCAGAAATATAAAGAGTATCCATCATAAAGATTTTTTTTCTTTTTGAAAACATTAAAATGTGTGTTGACTATAAATTGCAGATGAATATTTTTGAGTTAGAAAACCTTGGTACTTCATTTCAGCTATTTTTTTCAAGAGTGAAATCTGTACCTTCTACAACTTAATACAGTTTAAATGTAGAATTAATACAGTGGGTAGTCTTTACATTTATTTTCAAATGTCTTTCATTTGCATTGTTTGGTTGGTAACAGTGTAAACAAAATATATGTAATTGACTTTCTGACTGGGGAAAGGAATGTGTTCTTCTGGGTAGGTCAACAGTCTTAAACGCTGTGTTTTTTCAACTGTTTTCGGTAGTGGTGTGCTTACAGCACAGTCACTTACATAATAACATAAATATAAGAAAACAAATTGTCTTGCAGAGCCGGTTATATGACTGAAATTGGATACAGTCAAAATATTTCCAGATTACTTTTTTAGCCTGTTTGTCACTGAGGAAGAGAACTGTGCAAAGGCCATTAACCCTTCTCTCTACTTTGGCATTTTCAGAGACAAGGAACTGCTCCCCCTCCAATGAAATTGCCACCTCCTTATAAAGCTCCATCTGATGATAGTGATGAAAATGAGGAAGAATATGCATTTACCAACAGTGAGTTCCTTTTCATTACTGGAAGTTAATTCAGAGTTCATTAAATTGTGCTTTTGGGAGTATTGTCGATTATCAAATGTGGTGTTATGGGTTCTTAGAAAATGGGTATAAGCATATCATGCTGAAAAGAAAATGTCTCTCTTTAACTTTTGTTACTTTATTTTCATAAAGTTTACTCCTTAATACTAATATAATATTAGAGTGAATATCAAAGGCAATGCGTTACACACTATTTTCTCTACATTGCCTCCTAGCCTTACTGTTTGGCTGTGAATGCAGAAATGCTAAGAAGTCTTTTAATGCCCAGTTTGACCTACAATAATCTGAGCTGGATATGTGTGTCAGCTCTTGATTACTTGCTCTATTCAAACGGATGGTGATGTTACTAAGGCAAAATTAGAAAAGACTCCAGTCAGTCATATTTTCTCTTTTAGAGTTCCTTTCATGGTTTTTCTTTGCATTAGATATATCAAATATACTTTCATACATATATTTAATGGAGCCTTTATTTAAAAGAATTTGCATTTCTTTTATGCATGTAAAGTATATGTACTTAGATCTGGTTGCTATTGTACATGGAATTTCTTTGGCGAGTAGGAAAATACCCTAAAATTAGATTGTGGTGATGGTTGCACATTTTGCAAATATAGTAAAACTCCCAGGATTATAAATGTAAATGGGTGGATTTTATGGCTTGTGAAATATGTATATGTGTGTATGTGTGTGTGTCTATGTTCTTTTAAATATATATTCTTTTAAAAATGATCTTGTTCCTTCCACAATTTAGAAAAAGAGTTTGATACAGATATCGAAACAGTTAAAATTCTGGCCGCAGCACTTCTTAGTGTATGACCTTCAGCATGCCCTCTTCTATAAAAATCATGGTTCTTCCTTTAGAGGGGTGTGATGAAGATTAAAATAAAGTAATAAAGCCTTTTACCCTGCCGCGTAATGAAATTTCGACAAGTATATAGCTCTTCCTAATAATTATTATTATGTTGATTTTATAACTGACATTTTTCTAAATAGGGTAGGAAGTCTATAAATTTGAATATAAATAGATATGTTTATAACCATTTGGTTGGTTTTATAAAAGAATTGATTTGCACTTTGGTTTTACAGAGCCCTTTCTCATGCATTATTTTCTTCATTCAACAACTCTCTCTTGAAAGCCAACTGCTTTTTACTAACAGTATTAAGTAAGTCTGTCATGAAAGAAATAAAACATAGCTTCTTTTTTCTTGTTGGGGGTCACCAACCTGGAAGGGAGGATACAAAGGCGTCAGAACAAAATTTAATTAATGTGCCTAGTGCCTTGGCTGACCACCTCTTCTGGAGAGTTACACATGATGGAGATGATTGATAGGTGTGTGCGCGCGTGGAACGTAATCCCTTGTTCTGAGATGGGTATTAGGACAGCTGCAGCAGAGTGGGAATAGCTCGTTGGTTATTCATAATTTCTGGGATGCTGGAATGCGGGTATTTGCATAGTAGTTGTTAGTGCTGGGTCCGTAATCAAAGGAGCGAGACTGATAGAAAGCGAAGGTCAAACAAAGATATATTTCGCGCCAAGCATCGAGAATCAAACTGACCGGCCAGGGCGTCTCTTACAAAGAGGTGACCTCTCTGCCTTACAGAGTAGCTTTTAAGGGCAAAGGCCATGTGGTTGGGCCTGGCCACACACAGGTGGCCAATGAGATTGTAACACACAGAGAAAGCTGCACAGTCATGCTAGGCCACACATAAGTGACCAATTGAATCAATTGAATTATAGTTTACCCTATGGTAGATATTTGAACTAACCTATCACCTTGGTCAGAATTGGCGCCCAAAAGGCGCCCAAAGGGCGGGGTCCATACTCCTTGGTAGCTAGAGAGACAGTATGCGCCCCCACTGATTGGATACCTCCACCTGGCCTGCCCACCCTTGTATTTGGGCTTTGTTACCTGGGACTGGTTTCTGGGACTTGTTTTTAAGTAAGTCCCCTGGGGGGGAAGGGGGCAGGGACAGTTTTAAGTTTTACTGCATAAACAAAATCACTGTTTAACCAGATGGGATGGAATCGCTCTGGCTAAATAGGCCCTTACAGTAGGAAATCTGATTTAGGCATGTGACCAAGACTGTGTTCTAATCCTAGGTTTGTTCTGTTGTGAATTCATGGACCAGTTAATTAACCCCTTTATGGCTCACACTTGCTCCTCCGTGATAGGGGGAAGGGATGTCTTGCGATAATCCTCAAAGGATTGTTAGAATCTGAGGAGAAATGTATTTGAAGAGCTTGGTGTAAGGACTGTGATACCTAGTCAACACTCTGGTGTCAATGTGCCAGGCCTCTGTGTGTTGCTAATTCAGTCAACATACCAGCCTGTGAGGTCTCTAATTATATACAAATGAGGAAACTGAGGCTCAGAGAAATTAAGGAATATGTTCAAGGTTACTCAGCCGGTCAGCAGTTAGAAATGTAATTTAAACGCAGACTCTCTGACTCCAGAGCCTGTTCTCTCATGTGTACTTCCCATTAACTTAAATCTCATTTACTGTGGCAGAAGTGGGTACAAAGTGCTTGGGGTTATCTAGTGAGTATCACTGTGAGGCCATAAGGTGGGACAGCAGCACCCTCCCCAGAGCTCCGGTTAGGTACCTGTGTGTTCACACATGTGCGCAAACACATTGACAGCATTCGTGGGGTTCGGGAAGACACCAATATGCACTACATACAGAAAAAAACTTCTGATTCCTAGGTCATCTTCTAATTGTAACATTTCACAGGTTCTCCAGCAAATATATTTGGGCCATGAATATGACTTACCATTTGTTTTGCTTCCTAATTTTTTCCTTCTCAGCATACTTTCCCCTTCCCATTTAACTTCCTGTTGAATTCACTGTTCATCTTTCTTCAGAAGAGTTTGAACTTATGGGGTGTTAGATAGTACATATTTAAAATGTAGGTGAGCCTAAAGCCTCTGGCTTTCTTCTGTTTCTTTGTGAAATGGATCCCATGGCTTTTTCTATGTTCCTTAACTCTTACTAAATGCCTACTCTTCTCCTCCATCCAAAACTAAGAGTAGACTGGTTCACTGTTTTATCAGATTCTTATTGTCCCAAAACTAAGTGTGTCTTTTTACCGTTGTGAAAATATGATTTTCTAACTTCCCCATGGTCCAGGACTGTGAAGTGGACGGCTGGAATCCAAGCCTTAGGCCCACCAGGATGTGGTAATTGCATTAGAGGGATCACAGACATGAAACACATAGGATTTTAAAGTATAGTTAAAATACTTTTAACTATAGCTCAGTTAGAAGTATTAACTTTTAATATAGTTATATAGTTAACTTATAGTTAAGCACCTGGGTGGCTTAGTCGGTTAAGAATTTGCCTTCGCCTCAGGTCGTGATCCCCGGGTCCTGGGATTGAGTCCTGCATCGGGCTCCCTGGTCCATGAGGAGCCTTGTCCCTCTGCCTTTCTCACTCTGTCTCTCATGAATAAATGAATACAATCCTTAAAAAAATAATTTAACTTAGATGAGCTTTGGTGAGTTACTTAGTCATAAACTTCATCCTGCCAAGAAATGTTTCTTGAGTGTATATTGTAAGTGGGCAGACATTGTTCTGTTAGGGTCCGTGATCAAAGGAGCAAGACTAATACAAAGCGAAGGTCAAGCAAAGCTTTATTTTGTGCCAAGCATTAAGAATCAAACCAACTGGTCGGGGCCGCCTCTTACAGAGAAAGCGACCCCTCCTGGCCTCACAAACTAACTTTTAAAGGGCAATGGCCATGTGGTTGAGCCTGGCCACACACAGGTGGCCAATGAGATTGTAACACACAGAGAAAGTTGTATAGTCATGCTAGGTCACACACGGGTGGCCAGCTGAATTACAATTTACCCTATAGTAGTATTTGAACTAGCCTATCACCTTGGTCAGAATTGGTGCCCAAAAGGTGGGGCCCACATTCTTTAAGGAGATAGTGATTGGATGTCCACCTGGCCTGACCCACGCTTGTATTTGGGCTCTGTTACTTGGGACTGGTTGACCATATTTTACTAGTTTCCCGGACTTGCTTTTAAGGAATTCCCCTGGGGGGTGGGCAGGGTCAGTTTAAGTTTTACTGCATAAACAACAAAATGGCTGTTCAACCGAAATGGAGCTACTCTGGCGCTACTCTGGCTAAATAGGCCCTTACAGTTCTAGATATTAGGAACATAGCAGGGAAGAAGATCTCTCTTCTTATTAGCTTATATTCTAGTGGGAGAGAAAGATTATAAACAATATGATCATTAAAATATTGATAAATAGTCTAAATAAGATTAAACAACATAGTGTGAGAATAAATGCTTTGGAGGAGTCGACATTAAGTACAATGGCAAAGAAAGGCCAAGATAACACCTAAGTGACAAGAAGGAACCAGACATACAAAAGAGCTGGCTTCTAGAGTCCTATAGATCAGATTTTTTTTTTCAGATTGTGATCCACAGTAACATATTTTACTTAACAACCAAGTTTAGATATGTACACACAGACTTAGTGCATATATAATTGAAACAAAAGTTTCACAAAATATTACTTTTATAACATAGGAAAAACTATAATTTTTCTATTGTTTCATTTTTTAAAATGATGTTTTCAACTCCCTCTTTCTTTCTTTTGAGATTCCATTTATTTGTCAGAGAGAGAGAGCACAAGAAGGACAGGTAGAGGGAGAAGTAGGCTCCCCGCCGAGCAAGGAGCTCAAAGTGGGACTAGATCCCAGAACACCAGGATCATGACCTGAACCGAAGGCAGACTCGTAACTGCCTGAGCCACCCAGGTGTCCCAGCTCAATTTATTTCTCGATTAATGAGTCACAACCTGCAGTATGAACACTATAATCTAGAGCTCTGGTTTTCAAACTTCAGAGTACATCAGGGGGACCTGCAGAGCTTGTTAAAGCACTAGTTGCTGGGCCCATTCCCAATTTCTGATTGTTTATATCTGGAAGGACTCAATGATTTCTGATTCTA